CTGACAAACAGCTGATCAGCTGTTTGTCGGCTCAGCGTGGCAGCCATGTAAATTTAAATGAAGCGGCGATTATTTAAATCGCCGCTTCATTTTACTATGTCTGGTAGCCTAATCTACATGCCTCTGGCGACAGAGGCATGTAGTCTAGACGTACCCTGAGAAATGTAATAATGCCCTTTACAGTTATGGAGATGGTGGAAACGACAAACAGCTGATCAGCTGTTTGTCGGCTCAGCGTGGCAGCCATGTAAATTTAAATGAAGCGGCGATTATTTAAATCGCCGCTTCATTTTACTATGTCTGGTAGCCTAATCTACATGCCTCTGGCGACAGAGGCATGTAGTCTAGACGTACCCTGAGAAATGTAATAATGCCCTTTACAGTTATGGAGATGGTGGAAACAGACCTTCCTAAAAACATGTTTCTCGTCAGTGTTAGCACTAAGCTTTCAAAAGAGCTGAGCACACAACATCTCTCAGAGTTGTTTGGGGCTGGAGGCTTTGATTTAAAAACACAGCAAAGGGCTCTAGGCTCCCAGCCTCGTCACTACCATGTTGCCTGGCAGCCACCTGGTGTTGCTGCGACTCTTTAAAGGGTTTGTGGCTGGGGGACTGCCATGATTTGGAACTGAGTGTCATTTAAAAAGGATCTTGCTGTGTGAACCACTGCCTGGAAATTTGGGGGCATGGACAGCAGGATATAAATAGAAACAGGCCAGATGCAGTCTGCAGGCCGGATCCAGCCCCTGGGCCACATCTTGCCCAGCCCTGTCTCAGAGTGAACACTGAAAATGCAGCCTCATTCTGGATTACTCTGGCTGTATTGTTACCGAGAGGCTGGATAGTGGGATTCTCAGATGGGGGTGTGAGTTTAATGCAAGTGGATATCATTTTAAAAACCATCAAAAAACCCCTGCACATTTTTACCACCCTGCATTCTTACCTGTTCTTAGGGAAGTACTGTGATACTCATCATGAAGTGGTAACTAAGTTTATCAGCTGGGGTGTATTTTTTATTGTCATCAACTACAGGTTGTCTTTCACCAGGCATCTGTGTCCAGCATAATCAAAAACCAAAGCACAGGTTGGACCTCCCTGGTCTGGCATCCTTTGAGATCTGACCAGTCCTGACCAAGGGAATTTGCTGGACATGGGGAAGTTCCCTGCCACCGGCCTTCCAGCTCACAGCCCCACCTTTCTGCAGGCTCCTTTCTGGCCTCTGGCCCCACTACTGCTGGCTTGGCCAGAACTCGGTGGCTTTGCCAGCTCCACTGCTGCTGGCCCCACTGGGCTTTCAGCTGCACCGCCAGACCCCGTGCCATTGGGTTCCAGGCTGCATCACTGGCTAGCCTGCCTTGCTCCTGGCTGTTCCACCCATCCTGCCTGTCTATGGGCTCTGTGGTCCAGCAACATCTGTGTTTCTGCTTGGGACTATATATGTAAGAGCCAGTTTGAACAGTTTGACACAGCTCTGTCAGGAATCTTGACAGGTGACTTCCGCTACTCTAAAGGATCAGATACTCTCTGGTGCAGAGGATTTAGTCTATATTGTGGTTGGATGGGAGGTGAGGGGTGGTTGAGAGGGAACAGCCCTGAACGTGTTTAAAAAAAAAAAAGCCACCCAAGACAAATAGGATTTGCAGCATGTTGTAAAGCAGTGATGGGCAACCTGTTGGCCCCTCATGCTTCTGTGTGTTACCCACAAGACATTTAGTTTACTCTTGGCCACACGCAGCATTATCAGATTCCACTGGTTTCCATCCACATAGGTTTTTTTCCCTGCTGGTATTACTAAAGTGACACATCTGTGAAGCGAGGTGGGTACTGATTGCGCACAGCACTGACTATGAGAGCCGTGTGCTCATCTTACATACAACCCAAGTGCTGCTACGGTTCATTTGGTACACTCCCCAAATTATAGGTATGCAAGTGAAGTTAGTAAAAAAAAAAAAATACACGATACAGGAGACCTTTACAGTTCACAGAATCAATGTTTGCATTTCCACATATTCACAGAGGCCTGTGGCATGGGGCAGAGGCTAGAAGCCAGAGGGACCCTGCCACAGCTGCCAGGAGCCACGCTGAGTGCCCCTTGGCTCCTGGCAGCTATGGTGAGTTCTGGAGCCATGGAGATCTTACCAGGGGGCTAGGAGCCAATGCTCCCAGTATTCATGAATGTCACCATTTGTGGTGGATGTGGGAATGCATCCACCACAAATGACACAGGTTTCCTGAATCAGGAGACCATGTTGGTAATGACAATCTTGCGGCCCACGGAGATGAGGGCCACTCATGCAGCTTACTCAGTAGCCTAGATTGTCCTTTGCTATTCTAAAGAACCCAGCGAAGGACTCCCCATATCCATTCCAGGAGAGAACTTCACCCTTCTCAGTCCTGACTTAGTGGAACTGAGAACAGCTGACCACAACCAAGATATAGAGCAAGACATAATAACTCAGCTATTTAGTGCCTGGATTCCCAGACTTTTGTCCCCTACCCCTTTCCTTCCTCCCCTAAACTAAAATTAGTCTTCTTCTGTTCCTGGACAAAAGGAGTCCTCTGAAGTTTCAGATGAGCAGCTTTATTGTTAGTGCAACACGTTTTAACAGATGACCCATATACTTTAAGATTAGGCTTAATGGAGAATTTACTCAGCTCTCACAGTTGCTTCTTCTAGAATGAGTGAGCTAGGGATTTTTAGCAGGCTGGCCAGCAGCCTGGCTCAGTCCTGGCTTGTGATGGGTCTGGGACCTACCCCAGTTTCAGCTCTGCATTTCAAGTGTATTAAGAGCTAGGTGGGCAGCAGCCCAGCTCAGTTCTGGGTCAGGTTAAGTCTGGGAGCTCAGACCCTCCACCTCCTCTCCCCCGACAGAGGCTGCTGCCACCCTGTGCTGCTGCCTCTTTCTCAGAAGCAGCAGAACAGGGCGACAAACAGCTGGTCTATGAGGGAAGCTGCCTTTAAACTGGTTCACCTCGCAGATCAGTCCCCACCTGGCACCCTGTGCTGCTTCTGCTGCTTCTGATACAATGGCTGCTGGTCCCGCCCCCAGGGACTATAGAATAGTCTACTAACCAATAAAATTTTGTGGGGTTACTCGACTTCATTTAACCGATATCTAACGTCCCTAGAGTGAGCTTGATTTATGGCACTGTGAAGTATTGACTGCATGTTTTCTTCTTTCCTTCCTGTTTTGTATATCTTTTTGGTTTTTGTCCCATGTTATTCCCTCTGAAGGTGCTGGCTGTTATATGGCTTAGTGGACCCAACAGAGGATGGGGAACCAAGAGTTCTAGTAACTTTGGGCAAGTCACTGCAACATCAGTATCTTGTTTGTATATCTCTGTAAGTTGTGACACTGTTGTGATGCTCCATGTGAATTGTTTGCGGTGCAGCTTTTCTCCTGTACATGTCTCCTCATTGCCTTGGGGGCTGGTGGGAGGAGATTTGTGCACAGACAATGTATTTTGGTTATGCTCAGTAGTGCATATTTCTTCTCTACCTGGATTTCTCAGCTAATAATGTACTGTAGTATTGCACTTGGCCAGCACCCTGTAAATAATTGAGGTCAGTCTAATCAAGAACTGTTTAAGTATTTTTTTTTTTTTTTTGCAGATACAACAAAGCACTTCTTTAAAGTCTGGTAATTGCCCAAAACACTGCGCTAACACAGTTATAAACTGTTGTGCCCAAGCCATTTAGATTAGAGCAGGTTTCCTTACATTTCATTGCACTGCGATTCTGATAATTAAAAATTATTACACAACCTTAGGAGTTGGGACAAAAGTTTGAGCCTACTCAAGCCTGGCTGCCCTGGAGGTGGGGATAGAGCAAAGTCCAAGTCCAAGAGTCTGAGGCAGAAGAGTTTTGTCTAAATAACAATACTTAACACTCTTACAGTGCTTTTCTTTGCTTCCTTTTAAAGTGTTTTGATTCATAAGCACTGTATCCCTATTTTATGCCTGGGCAGCTAAGGCACAGTAGCTGTAACTTACAAGTGGGGAGTGGAGCCCACATGTCCTAGTTCCCCTGTCTAATGCTCTATTTATTGGTAAGGGTTAAAGAACAATCCATGTAGCAAGTACAGTACACAAATGTTATTAGACAGGAAATACTTTTCTTTTGGTTCTGCTTCCTGCTCAGAAAACTAATGTGTGGCTACATTGCTTGTTGATCACCTTTCATTTCTCCTCTTCCCCAGGAAGGAAGAAGCTACATGACTCCCTGAAGAGCGAGAAAATGTTATGTTGGGGGTGTTGGTCTTTTGGCCAGTCTGGGATAGGTAGCAATCTCCAAGCAATCATCCCTGAGCCACAGGTATATGGCTTCATGCATGACAGAAACATCAAGGAGGTGGCTTGTGGAGGCAACCATTCTGTTTTCTTACTGGAGAATGGAGATGTTTATACCTGTGGCTTGAACACCAAAGGACATCTAGGCCATCAGAGAGAGGGAAGCAAGCCAGGTACATGGATTTTTTGCATACTTCAAACACCAACTGCAATGGTGGGGTATGTGTGCGTTTGATTCTTCACGTGAAAACTCTTGTATGAATTCTTGGTGACTCAACAATAAATGGAGCTGATGGGGCTGCTTAATTGTACAAAATTAAGGTGCAGGATAAGGGGTATGAGTTTGGTTATTGGAATCGATAGTTAAACTGTGGAGTGTGGGGAAAAATAACCTGATATATCCAAGCATTGCCTAAAGGTAGAGGCTTCAATATGGGCATAGGCAATCTGAAGCAGAAGTTTCCTACTTTGCATATATGCGACTTGCTTTCTCCTATCGTTCTAGCAAGGGAGGGCTGTTAGTCACACTGCTCCTCTCCTGCCTTTGAGGCTTTACTGTTTGTGGAATCACAGGTTTCATTAATGAAGGGGTTGAAATCTTAAGAGCAACCCTGGGAGTTAATCCTGCTCCTGGTGGTCTCAATGGAAGCTTGGTCATTGATATCACTGGGAGCAGATTCATTTTAAACATAGTTGTTGGTAGCAGCGTTTCTTTAGGCAGATGGGGAACAAGAGGGGTTTTATTATTTCTGAGATCCCTGTAGGAGGGTGTCCTGGGGTACAGCCCTCATTGCCAGACTGTCGCCGCCTCCTGGTCATGCTAGGGATTAGCTCAAGGCTGATGCTCACATGTGTGATCTGCACACTAGCAGTTGGTCTCTATTCCTGTCTATGGCCCCTCTCAACCACCAGAACCACAGCATTGTCTTTGTAACTCTGGCAAGGTCATCATCTGGGTTTCCCTATTCTGGGGGATGGTATCTCTGTCCAACAATCCAGCCACTTCCTCAGTGGCAAGTAGTGGGGATCTTGGCCCTCCCACTTGGCCCAGGGATCCTGTAAGTAGCAGTTTCTTGCTGCTCTTTTCTACCCTCTGTCAATGCTGCTATATTTCCCTGGGCCACTTCCCCATGGTCCCAGCTAGGGGTGTGAAAGACTAGTCAACTAGCTGATAAGCAAATGCTCATTGGATAACTTCTATACTAGTCGACCAGTCACTTCCTTCACCCACTTGCTGCTTCTATCAGAAAGAGGCAGCAAGGTAGGGGAGAAAAGAAGGTAAGGTTTCAGAGTGGCAGCACCGTGTGGAGCCAGGGTCAGCTGGGGACTCCCCCGCTAACCCCGGCTCCACATGGCGCTGCCGCTTTGAAACGCCATGGGAAGCCCCACCAGGTGTTTCAAAGTGGCAACACTGCGTAGAGCCAGGGTCAGCGGGGGAGTCCCTAACTTCATACAGTGCTGCCACTTCAATCCCCCGCTGGCCTACTGCTCCCCGCCTCGCTTTTGCCTTTGAAGTGTAGCAACAGCCCTGGGGTTGTTGCTACATTTCAAAGGTGAGGCTCCCTTTTATTGCACTGACTATTCAGGTAGCCAATTAATCTAAATTTAACTCCCTAGTCCCAGCACCAGCATTCTTTAATTTTTTATGTCCATATGACTTTTGTGATATGTATCAATATGGAGATGATGTATCACATAACAAAAGTCACTCTGCTCATGAACAGTATGTGGTGGGGATGGGGCCGAGAGGCTGGAGCTTAGGGCTGGGGCAGAGGATGGGGATGCAGAAGGCTGAACCAGGTACAGGAGCTAGGGTGGGGCTGAGGATGAAGGGTTTTGGGTACAGGCTGCCCCACCCTGCCTCCCGCCCCCAGCAGCCCTCTTTCACCACAGTTGTTCAGAGGAAGGTGAGAGTTGCATCTCTATGGCTGTGGCAACTTCAGGGGGCACAATTGTGGACGAGGTACCTGCCCCCCATTCAGGGCAGATCTGGGTTAGGATGGGTGGAGGCCAGGGAGGCTGTCGCTCCAGGGCAGCTTTTTGCTGAGGCTGGTGTACAGAGGTGCCTGTCTCCCGGTCATCACAGTTCTACAGTGGCGCTGATGGAAAGAGGTGCCTCTGCCCTGGCCACACCGGATTTGGGGAGAAGCATCTCTTCTTGCTGGAGCACAGAGCCCCCACACAGCTTAGAGGGAACATAGTCCAGCACATTCTTCACCCTTACCTCAAAGCATTCAGTGGCTCAGTCCCAGCATCTTGTCAGGAGCTCCCTCTTGCTCCCCCAGTTCCTGTCAGCAGTTGCTCTGTCCAAGATGCTTCATTTTCTCAGCCTTTCAGGTATACTGTCCTTACTTTCTGGGCTCCTTGGGAGCAGTTGGCCAGGAATAGTTGCTCCCTACATCTCATCTCTGTCTGTGCTTCTCACAGAGATTCATTGCCATTGCTCCTTCTTCTGGGGAAGGGTGTAATCCCTTTTAGGCACCAGGTCCAACAGGATTCTCAGAAGAATCTGTGCCAGAGTCTGTCCCTGTCCTTCTTCCTCTTGAACAAGGTAGTGCCTGCCCTTTCCTACCTAGCAGAGCCTGCGTATTTTCAACTCCTGCTCCTCTCTTGTGCCCATGAGGGTGAGTCGATCCCCTTATTTTGTTTGCTTTGTTTTTGTTGTTGTTTGGGGTGTGTGTTTGTGGGGAGGGGGGAGGAGTTACAGACCTTACATAAAATTGGTCTTTATGGAGCTGCTTTGTATCTTCCTCACTCCAGTGTGTTCCAGACAACTGGATTTCTTGGCTGTGATTTTTTTACTGAAAACAGAATATTAAATGTTTAACCTTCCCCACCCCCAAACCAGCACTTTTCACCTAGGCATCCCCAATTTAGGTCAAGGCTATGTCTACCCTGTGCAGTAGAGTTATGATTCCCCTGCTTGTGTACTCATACTCATGCTAGCTCTAGTTGAGGTGATGTGAGGATAAATAGCAGCCTGTCTTCAGGAACTTGGTAGCAGCCACGGAGGCTTGACTGAGCCTTGTCAAATATAAACCCACCTGAAACTGGGACGTGTAGACTGAATGTGCCTCTACTACAGTGGTTCTCAAACAGAGGTCTGCGGATGGACTATGGCAGTGGGGATCCTGTGATGGCTGTCCAGCCTTGTGGGGGCCCCCCCATGAGGTTGGAGCGCCAGCTTCCTGCTGGGGTGTTGGAGAGGGTAGAATAAAGCCCCGAGCCTCTCTGCCCTGGCTCATGGGGAAGAAGCATAGCCAGAAGCAGCTCCATACACTGCTGCTCCCCCTATTGGGGGAACAGCAGTACACAGCGGCACTGCCTGGAGGCTTTCCCTGCTGCTCCCATTGGGCAGAATCTGCCCAAAGGGAGCAGTAGGAGGCTGTGCTTGGGAGCGGGTGGGGACACAAAGGCAGATAAGGGTTCCCTCTCCCCTTCATGCCCAAACCCCGCACCCACAGCATGTTTCTGCCTCCTTCCCCTCTGGCCAGACACCTTAACCCTAGCCTGCTCCTGCACCCTCCTTTGCTCCTGCCAGACACCCTACTCCCAGACTGCTCCTGCATCCTACCTCCCTCACAGACCTTTGCAACCTCCCCCCATCCTACACCCCACTTCCCACCCAGTTTCTGTACTCTCATCCTCATCCCACCCAATGGCAGCCCTGTCCTGCACACTGAACTCCTCATTTTTGGAGAGCCTATGGGGGTCCACAACTCCAGAACCCAGAAGAGTTAATCTGGCCTGTGGGAAGCCCTGAATCTCAGTCCTCACAGCATAGGGCTGGAGCATCAGAGGAGTGAGGTATTGGGGGGGCACATAAGTGAGGGTTGGGAGTTTTTGGAGGGGTTGGTTTTTTTTGCTTCTTACTTGTGTGGTCCCCGACTGATTTTCTGTGGGTCAGTGGCTCCCGATTCAAAACAGTTCTCCACTCCTGCCACAAATAAAGACAATGTTGAAAACTTTTGTTGTGGACATAAATTATTTTCCTTTATTTAAAATAAAGTTTGGTAAACTAACGTGAGAAAGTTAAAGTGCTTAATGTATTTAATAATTTCAATTAACATTTTCTTTTTTGCTGGGTAAATTAAACCTTTCTCCCTCAGTGCAGCACTAGTAAAATAGCCTGGGCATAATTATAGATTTAACAGTGAGTTAGCCACTACTGATCCATTGAAAGGTTTGCATTGAGCAGGATGGACCATGGGCCAAAAGTTTAAGAACCACTGCTTTACTGCCACCTGTGCTACTATGACTATGCTGCTATTTGTACTCATGCTAGCACAAGTATGTGAACCACACCCATAAAGTGTTATTTCAATAACTAGTGTTATTTCAAAATAACTTAGTCTGCGTCTACACAGCAGGCAGTTATTTCGAAATAATGTTGAAATACTCTCAAGCTAGAGCATTTCTTACTCTGACTTCTATAAACTATAGCTTATTTTGAGTTAAGCCCTGTTGTGTAAATGCACCTGAATAGCATAGACACTGCCTGGGTGTTGAAATTTATCATCTGTTCCCATGTGTTTGGTGCATCTAGAACAATATGGATAATTAAAGCTTCTGTGTTTTAATGGGATGCAAAGACTGAAATAATAGAAGACTTCATTCTTCAGGGCATTAGCCACCCACTGAATGGGAGATTAGGAAGCAACTTTGTCTGTGGAACAGGTTATTTCTTATTTGTCTACTCTGGAGGGTTTTATACTTTCCTTTGAAGCATCTGGTGCAAGACCCTGTTTTGTGAGAGGATACTGGACTGCTTGGATATTGGGTCTGATCATCTGTTGCAGCAGTTCTTAACTGGGGTGGGGAGAGAGTGGCAGAGGGAACATTCCCTTTCAGACCTTCTAAGGCAGGAGTTCCCAACCTTTTTCGGTGCCCGTACCCCCTTGGCTTTTAGTAAACCTCCCTGTACTCCAATTCAATATTAAAGGAAATAAATTCTAGACTCTAGAATCCACAACTTTTTTCACTAACACTACCACTTTTGGACTATTTCAATTAGGATCATCTAGTTATTTACTAAATATTCCTTGTACCCCCTTGACAAGTTTCTCGTACCCCCTGGAGGTACTTGTTCTAGGGGATGTGCTGAGCCTTCCCACTCAGAATTGCAATCCCGTTCAGTCAAATTTGGCAGAGTGGGTTTGGGATGTGTCTCACG